GGAAGACAGGAAAGACTGTCATCCATTTTGCCTCGATTGTTGCGGCATCGACCGACCCCAGACATCAGAGCAATCACCATCTCCCCTCAAGAAGACGTGAGGCACTGCCCAGCTATCAATCGACAAAATGGGTATTCTCGACAAGATCAAGGACATTGAGGCGGAAATGAACCGCACTCAGAAGAACAAGGCCACTGAGCACCACATCGGTCTCATGAAGGCCCGTTTGGCCAAGCTGCGCGCTCAGGTTCCCGACCTTTACATCCCCTGCAGCCACACTAAATTAGAGATTAATCTGGATTTCTACCCCCTACTTAATTCATTCATGCATGCCGCTAAATCAAATCACTCTTTTTAATTCATCCATTTGCAGCTGCTGGAGCCGACGGGCAAGGGCAAGGGAGGCGGTGAGGGCTTTGCCGTCACCAAGTCGGGAGATGCTCGCGTGGCCATGATCGGGTACTCACTACTTCGTTGCCCCCCACCACCACAACAACTGTTCCTCTCACCCCGCTCACCCTGTGTGCGTGTGCCATGTGCGTGTGTCGTGCGATGTGGGGTGTGTGCGGTGTAACAGTTTCCCGTCCGTCGGTAAGTCGACGCTGCTGTCGATGTGCACAGAGACCAAGTCCGAGGCGGCCGCCTACGAGTTCACCACCCTCACCTGCATCCCGGGCCGGCTCGAGTTCAACGGCTCCAACATCCAGCTCCTCGATCTTCCCGGAATCATCGAAGGCGCCGCCCAGGGCAAGGGTCGCGGTCGACAGGTCGTCGCCGTCGCCCGTACCGCGGTTCGTCTCCTCTACGCGCGCGCTCGTGTGTGTGTGTGTGTGTGGTGTGTGTGTGTGTGTGTGTGTGTGGTGTGTGTGTGGTGTGACACCGAAACTGACACTTGACCTCCTTTCTTGCCAATGCCAGGATTTGATTTTGATCATGCTCGATGCGACCAAGGACGACAAGCAGATCGAGATTCTGGAGAGCGAGCTGCACACGGTGGGCATCCGTCTCAACTCGCAGCCGCCCGACATCTACTACAAGCCCAAGAAGGTACGAAATAATCACCGTCACCATCATCTCCATCATCGCCATTGTCATCAATGTGGAATGGAAGTGGCCGCTGTTGCAGTGTCAACTGACTGGTGTCTGGCGGCACAGGCTGGCGGTCTCGCGTTCAACAGCACGGTCCCGCTCACCCACATCGACGAGAAGGTGTGCAGGCTCATCCTGCACGAATACAGTACGATTCGTTATTTATTTTATATTTTATATTTTATTATTATTTATGAAATGATTATGTTTTTGTTTTAATTTTTAATTGTAGTTTATGAATTTCTATTTATTTCTCTCTGGCTTGTGTGTTTGAACGCAGAGATTCACAACGCGGAGATTCTGATGAGGTGCGACGCCACCATCGACGAGCTCATCGACGTCATCGTGGGCCGCGCCCACTACGTCAAGGCCCTCTACGTACGCACCCCTCTCTATCCTTCCTTTGTGTTGCGTGCGGTGGTGTGCGGTGGTGCGATGGTGTGCGTGCGGTGCGTGCGGTGGTGCATGTGTTCACCGTGGTTTGTACCTACCGCAGGTGTACAACAAGATCGATCAGCTCTCCATTGAGGAGGTGGACAAGCTCGCCAGGCGACCCCACTCGGTCGTGATCTCTGCTGGCCTGCAGCTCAACCTCATGGACGGCCTCCTGCCCGCCATCTGGGAGTACCTCGACCTCGTCCGAGTCTACACCAAGCGCCGCGGCCGTACGTTCCTCTGAGGCACACACAGCGCGCTGCATGCGACACACGTATACTCACATTTGTTTAATTATTATTATTATTATTCAGTGCCGCCCGATTTCTCTGAGCCCATCGTCATGCGTACCGGAGCCACCGTGGAAGATGTCTGCAGGCTCATCCACAAGTACGTCCTCTGTGTCATGCGTGTGTCGTGTGTGTGTGTGTCGTGTGTGTCGTGTGTGTCGTGCGGTGCATGGCGAGGCCAGCGAACTGATGACGCTACTCATGCAGGGATCTGGTGGACCAGTTCAAGTACGCGCTCGTGTGGGGCGCCTCGGCCAAGCACACGCCGCAGAGGGTCGGTCTCAAGCACCGGCTGCTCGATGAGGACGTCATCTACCTCTCCAAGAAGTAGAGACCGCTTTTGGTGTGTCTGCACTCAACACGTTCAGTTTTCTTTTACATCTGATTGAACGTTGTTCTTAACCGCCGTCATGGAGGTGCAGCCAGCGTGACACATTGCTGTTGTTAATCCGCGAAGCAGACCGCCTTGTGGTTGAGCTCTTTCCAGTCGCTGACCTGGCATTGCTTGTTGTGTGTGCAGCCCAGAGATTTGTACATTTTTGGTCAGCCTGGCGTGAATGGCGTGCGTATGACACATGGATCACCCTGATGCAGCCTGAGCTGGTGGCACTGCACATCAAAAACCCCCACTTGGTTGGTCCTTGTGCCACTGCTGCTGCTGCTGGTGGCCATGGTGGTGCCTGTGGGACTGAGATCAGCTTTTTTGCAGCCCAGCAGATTCAAATCAGGAATGTGAGGTGGTCTTCTGTACTAGGTTGGACACCATGAGGTGCTGGCAGAGGTGATCTGTGAGTGGAGATTGATGGCAAAAGTGAGGCCATCCTGATTGAGGCTCATGTAGGGCAAGAACATGGGCAGCTGTCTCTTCTCAGTGTCAAGACCCAGCTGGTAGTGCTTTAGAAAGTTCTCCATGTTGTTGAGGACCATGTAGAGGCATCCCATGCTGTAGTGTGCTGTTGTGTGGGTTGAGGTAGGCCAATGCCCAGCCCTTGTAGAAGTGGAGCCCAGCCCACACCATGCATGCACCCTCATGCAATGGGTTGTCAGACCAGCAGCTCCAATGGATCAGGGCTGACCATTGTTGGAGTTGCATTGTAGGACTCCATCTTGTGCTTCAACTGGTCCATCTCCTCCAGCATTCATTCCATTGCTTTTCAAGAAACATCACCACATCCAAATAACAGAAAAAAAAAATGTGAGATCTTCATGTTCATGTGTGTGTGGTGGTGCAGTGGTGTGGTAGTGTGTGTGGAGAATTACATTGTCACTTGTGTGGATTGGGAATCATGTCCAGCAGCACTTGATTGTGTCTGCTGGCCTGTTCACAGGCCTGCTCAACATGCTGCAGCTCTTGGAGTGTACATTGGGTGGCCCAGTTCCCATTTTCAATGGATTGGCTGGCCCATGTCTTGGCCTTGGTCAAATCCTGCAGCACGCCTGGAGCACCATGGGTGTAGAGACAGGCCAGGTTGAGCATCACCACTATTTCATTGCAAGTGGCTAGTACTTGTGTGCCTGCTTCTTGTTTGGGGCCATTCTTTTCAAAGAAGGCCCAGGCTGCAGGTGAATTGGGCATCCAGTTGCCCCACTTGAGGAGTTGCAGTGCGGAAAATGTGTAGAAAATACAAAGAAAAGACCATTAAAAATGCTCATATTTCGGCAAAATTGCAATCCAACGCGCGTCAGATGGGAAATCTGTACATAAAAAGGGATTCTGCCTTTGTCATTCCTTCTCAATAGCATCCTCCACTTCTGTACATTTTCTGAAAATGATGCCCAAGCTTTTGATCTGTACACCAACCTCATGAAAAACAGCCAAATGGTGGCCTTTTTTGTACAGATTTGATTGTGCTAAGCAAAAAGGGTCAGTGACCCTTTTTCATGAACACTTGGTTTTTGTGTGAGCAGTGTACATAGTGCAGGAGGATCGCCAGCACAGCCACGCCCATACTGAGCAGCCACAACACTGTTACCACCAAGTACCAAGCAATGACCTCACACAACAACTCCACTCCCCAAGCATCCTACACCACTCTCCTACACATACCTGAAAGTGTAAGCATCTCTGATCTAGTAGATTCTAAGGTTTTCCATCACCCCAACCCAGGGCCAACAACAGCACAGCCCCCTCAATCACTCCTCAATACACCCCTGCCACTGCGCAATGGGGCACTGACAATTCTAATTTCTTCCACAATCCTTGCCCCTCCTATCTCACTCTCCAGCTTGGTGTTCATGAAAAGGGGATAGTGTACCTTGTTCATAAGGCCAAAAATGAGAAATCTCAAAAGAAGAATCATGAAAACAGGCCATTTTGGCCAACTATCTGTTAACAGCCTACCAGTTCCAGCATGTGCATTTATGTCCAAAATAACACCTGGTTGTTTAAGAAATTGATGGTTTTCAAAAAGTGGAACCCCACATGCTTGATGTTGTCTGAACCCCATTCTTGCTGGTTTCTGAACATACTGTGCAATTGAGAGAGGAATATGGAAGCAACACTCAATGTAACTGATGCTGTGAAGCATCTAGCCCACCATGATCGAGAGTGCTTGCCAAGAGCAACTGATTGGTCAACAGTAAGACAGGAAAAAACTTCTTTCAGTTCAAGGGCCATTATTTTCGTTTTGTTTTTTTCTTAGTAGTTTTTTGTTTGTTTTGTTGTTAATACAACGCATGATGCAGGCAGCACAGGTGTGGGCGGTGGTCGGCAGGCACCTGCAGGACGAGGATTTGGTTGTGTGCCTCTCACGCGACTCAATTACACTGGTGCTGGGCCTGCTGAACAAACTGCTGCGCACCTTCCAGCAGCTGGCGACTGCGCCCGCCACTGGCGAGGCCTCGGCGGGGAAGAAGCCAAAGCAGAAGCTGGACCCCGAGACCACCCAGCAGAGGTGGCAGGCCCTCTTCCCGAACGACCCCAAGCTCGTGGCCAGGCTGACACGCGGTGCGTGTGAGGTTCTGGACGTATGTGTACTAGGAGGCTGGAGAATGGATAGAAGAAGTATATATGTGGGAAGAATAGGCCACTGACCAACACAAACTCGGGTCTGGATAAAGGAGGTCGGAGCTAGGGAGAGGGAATAAAGGGGGAATGGGATCGCGGGGGAAAAGAGAGAGTGGGGCGCGGGCACTAGTCCGCATCTCAGGGCTGAGTGTCGACGGGGCGCAAAAATGTCCGCCGGCACTTGTAGCCGCAGTCCTCACTGGTTTGGCTCACGTCTTGCTATTTATTTATTTATTTATTTATTTATGATGAATTGTGGTGATAACTGAAGTAATAATATTATTTATGGGCGCAGTTCTACGGGAGGACGGTGGCGAGGTGGTGGAGACAAAGGTGGCGCAGTACTGCGCCCGGGTCCTGCTGGGCGTGGCCTCCAAGATCGCCGAGGTTGGGGCCACTGAAGCCGTCAATACTCGCCCGGCCGTCCATGGGTGCGCACGACACACACGCACGACACGACACGACACGACACACATACGACGATGTGGCACACAACACACGATCTCCCTTGTTTTAACTCCGACGTGCCGTCATTGACAGGGTCCCGCCGAGCGTCGTCAAGAAGGCCATCAGCGAAGACCCGTCGCTGGCTCCGGTCTTCAAGGACTCTCCCTCTCTCCGGGTACCAAGTCTTCGAAGTGGCCTGCGCGCGACACTGGTCTGGTGGCTGAGATGCCTTTGTTTTTGTTTTGTTTTGTGGGCTGGCAGGAGCCAGGTGGCGCCGCAGAGCCTGGCCGCCCTGTGCGCGACCCTCGTGGTGAAGCACGAGGTGGCCTACCACGACCTGGGCCTGCCCGACGAGGTGGTCGAGGCCATCGAGAAGGTGCTGACAAACCGGCGCTCTGAATGAGTCACAAAATGACTAACTTGCGAGTGCATGTGTCGCGTGTCGCGTGTCGTATGCACAGAAGGATAAGGCGGCGATGATGCGCCGCCTGCTGGGCCGGATCGACGCGATTCTGGCCTCCTCGATGAAGGCCCCGCTCAAGCTCAAGCCTGCGACGGACGAGGAGATCGCGGCGGCCGAGAAGAAGTTTCAGCTGAAGTTTCCACCCGGTAGAGACTCGTGTCAAGCCCTTGTTCATGCAACTCGCGCGCTCACGTCCTCTCTCGTATGTGGTGTGTGCGGTGCGTGCGGTGTGTGCGTCCAGAGCTGAGCGTGCTGTTGAAGTGGAGTAATGGAGTGCCGATGGACGCGCCAGGCATGATGGCGTTTGTCCAGTGCGCGGGGCTCGAGGAGATCAACGAAGAGTTTTTCTACAATGAATACTTCCCTACGCTGTTCCGCAAGTACTACTTACCACTCTACTTCCCCTCATCATCACGAGCATCGGCTCCATTGTCGTCGTCATCATCATCTGGACTCCACCAGCCAGCATCATTCCAACAATTCTTCTTCGTTCGTTTGGGCAGGATGAAGTGGATCCCAATTGCGCCAATCGACTACGACTTCTGCTACAACGCCTTGGACATCGAGTCTGGGTACATACCCAACCTTACCTCATCACCACCATCATCATCATTTGTTTGTTTTGTTAGGTGACAAAGGCCACTGATGATGTGTTGACGGTGTTGGCGCCACAGCATGGTGGTGCAGATTGACAACGAGTGCGAGTCGTCCCTCCTGATCACGCCCAGCCTCATCGAGAGCGTGCGCGCGTACGCCGACGCCCTGGAACAGCACAAGGTGCCCCATCCCCCGCTTTCGTCGCTGCTTCTCCCTGCGGGGCTGTCCTGAACCGCACCACGCACCACGCACCACGCACACAGGACAATGTGGAGGCGTTGAACAGTTATGAAGCACCAGAGGAAGAAGACGGCTCGATGCATCTGAGCATCCAAGCCCCCGAGATCTACGCCCGCTTCGCGGTGGTCACGCATCGGGTGTATGGTGGCAGCGATGATGAGGAAGACGAAGACGGCAGCGAGGACGACGACGACGACCACCACCACCACATATGCATGCTAGGATGAGCAAAAAGGTCTCGACGATATGCGTAAATGAGTAGGGGGGCAAAAGGAAGTTCGTAATTCGTCTGCCCGATAGTCACTCTATCCAACAATATATAACGCCATCACCACCTGGAGGCGCAACCGCAAGAGGGAGGCCAGGGCCAAGAAGAGCGCAGCTGCCGTGTAGTTTGTGGTTGCGAGGCCAGCCAACCGCAAATCAAAAACAAACCCACTTCATTTTCTTCTTCTCTTTTATGAAAGGAAAATGAAGAAATATTCAGCTTGAGGAGAAGATGCAGGGGACGCAAGTGCGGTCGGAGGTGGGCTGGCACCTGAAGGGGAAGCACGAGATGACTCTGCCTCTCGCACGCGACTCGCTCACGCTGGTGCTGAACCTCTTGGAGGAACTGCTCCGAAACACATTCTGCCGCGGCTCTGAAGCCCATGCCACCACGACGGGGACCGCCGCTCAAAAGACGAAGCATAAGCTCGACCCGGAGACGGTCCAACAAAGATGGCAGGCCCTCTTCCCGTACTACCCCGAGCTGACCTGTCTGGACAGACGCGTGGAACAATGGGGCCACCTAATCGAGGAGCTTGTCGCAGCTGTCCGCACTGGTTTGTGCTCCATCATTTCTTATTATTCATTCTTTTTTTTGCTTTATTTTAGCAATTGTGTTAATTATTTTTCTACAATTATAATTATAAATTGTTGCTGGAGCAGTTCTGTGGGAGGGCGGCCTTGCGGGTCCGGAGGAGGAGGTGGTGGGGAAGGTCGTGTACTGCGCCCGCGCCTCGCTGGCCGTTGCCACCAGGATTGGCATCGTCGCGACCTCGGAAATACGCAACACTCAACCGAAAGCCAGATCGTACGGCACACACACACACACGCACAACACGCACGACACACGACACGACACACGACACACAACACGACACGACACAACACGACCAACAACACGACCAACGACACGACCAACGACACGACACACGCAGCAACCGCGCCAAAGTAGTCCGGCCCGGGCATTAATTCGTGCACACTACGCGAACAGGGTCCCGCCGAGGGCGATCAGGAAGGCCATCCTCAACGACCCGTCGCTGGGTCCTGTCTTCAAGGACTCTCATTTCCTCTGGGTACAACCTTGGCTGATGACCTGCGAGCGCTGCAGCACTGATGGCTGATGTTTTTGTTGAGTGTCGTGTATCGTGTTGTGTCGTGTCGTGTCGTGTCGTGTCGTGTCGTGTCGTGTCGTGTCGTGTCGTGTCGTGTCGTGTCGTGTCGTGTCGTGTGTGTCGTGTGTGTCGTGTCATTTTCTTTGGTGGGAGCCAGGTCGAACCGCAGAGCCTGGCCGCTCAATGCGCGACCGTCGTGGTGGAACACGAGGTGCCCTACCACGACCTGAATCTGCCCGACGAGGTGGTCGAGGCTATCGAGAAGGTACCGGAAAACCGTCGCTGTGGTGCTTTGGCTTTGGTCTTCCTTTATATTTATGTGTGCCCCGTGTGTCGCATTCGTGTCGTTGGTCGTGTCGTTGGTCGTGTCGTTGGTCGTGTCGTTGGTCGTGTCGTTGGTCGTGTCGTTGGTCGTGTCGTTGGTCGTGTCGTTGGTCGTGTCGTTGGTCGTGTCGTTGGTCGTGTCGTGTCGTGTCGTGTCGTGTCGTGTCGTGTCGTGTCGTGTCGTGTCGTGTCGTGTCGTGTCGTGTCGTGTCGTGTCTACAGAAAGATAAAGCGGCGACAATGCGCCGCCTGCTCGGCCGGATCGACGCGATTCTGGCGCTCAAGCTCGATCCCGTGACGGACAAGGAGATCTGGGCGGTCGAGAAGAAGTTTCAGATTGATTTCCCGCCCGGTAGACCCGCGTCCTCTCTCGTGGGCCATGTGTCGTGTCTCATGTCGCGTGTGTGTTGTCCGGTCGTGTGCGGTGGCGCGTGTGCGGTGGCGCGTGCGCGTGTGGGTCAGAGGTGAGGGCATTTTTGAAGTGGAATGACGGAGTGCCGAGGGACGCGCCCGGCATGAGCAAGTTTGTCAAGTGCGCAAGCCTCGCGGAGATCTACGAAGCGTTCTTCTACAAATTCGGCTTCGCTCGCCTGATGCGCTGGTAATGACTGCCTCTCCGCAAAAGCACCGCCCCCATCACCACCACAAGCATCATCACCACTGCAATCACCATCATCACAATTACCACCACAAGCATCGTCACCACTGCAACCATCACCATCATCATAACAAGAATCATCATCACCATCATGTG